TGATAAAACATCAATGTTTTAGGTAGTTTACATAAATTTATTTAATTTAGGGCAAAAACTGTTGCACCAATGCAACGAAAACACAATAAGCAAACTTAGAATTCTTTGAACAATAAAACTGCATTTTATAATCCTTTTTATTATTACGCGATAGCAAAAGTGCACTAAAATAAGTGTAATTTTATTTTATTTTAAAAATAAATTTTTTAAAATAAAATTTTTTTGTTTTTATTACATTTTTTGACCTAAAAAAATAATTGCAATAGCCCTAAAAAATCTAAAACCTGTTCCATTTTTATTTCCTCATAATTTCTACTGTTTGGTTGTAAAACTTAACGAGAACTTCTGTAAACTTATCTTCAGTTCTTGGAATCAGCACCTTTTCAAAATAGGTTAGTTTAAGATATGTTCACAAAAAGTGCAATACTTAACATCAACGGTAGCAACTAAAACGAGAAAAAGATTTAGTATAAAAAGACTTACAGACAACCACTCAAAATTCATCAGTTTAAAACTTTAGTTTTCTCATTTACGAAAACAATTAAGTTTGAAAAATGAAGTACCTCATTTGCTTTTTGCTGATTACACTGCTGGCTCTCTCTGAAGCCATCATCTTTGAGACCTCTTCACTGAACAACGTGACTCGCATCATCAACGGCGGCGAGGTGGAGGACATCAGCGAGGCGCCCTATCAGGTGTCCATTCAGACGAAGGCGGGCAGTCACCAGTGTGGCGGCGCCATCATCAACAGCCGCTGGGTCCTCACCACGGCACAGTGTGCAAGCCTGTGAGTTTTAATGATTAACACTAAAATCTTCTTTGCTGATCTCTATTTACACTTTCTTTGACCCAGCATCGACCCGGCCACTCATCAGATCCGCTACAACAGCATCTGGAACAACTGGGACGGCCTGATTGCGACCATCAGCTCGGTGGTCGTACACGAGCGGTACAACCCACGCCAGCCACGACTGCTGCTGAACAACAACATCGCCCTGGTGAGCATCCAGGAACGCTTTCCCGCCTCCATCACCGACTACGTGACCATTCGCTGTGCCAGCAACAGCCCAGAGACCTCCGAACGGGAGAGGGAACCGTTGTATGTCGCCGGCTGGGGCTGGATCAAAGACGAGAGCGGCCAGCTGACGGTGAAGCTACGTCAGATTGAGCTGCCCTACGCCGGTGACCGCTGTGCGCCCTTCTACGAGAAGATCAGCAAAACGGTGAACGGCAGCCTGAGCTTCTGCGCCGGAGACCTCGATCGAGGCGCCGCCGGCATCTGCCGAGGCGATGAGGGCGGTGCCGCCGTGAAACGAGTCAGTTTGACGGGTAATGTAGCGAACAGCAAAAACTTCCGCTCAGTCATCACCGGCATTGCCTCGTATGTGGACTCCTGCGGCAAGCCCAAGTTGATTAGCCTGTTCACTCGGGTGAGCGCCTTTAGCGCCTGGATTCGCGCCGTCATTGGCAAGACATCTAGTGGCCCCAATTGCAGTCTCTAGGTGTGCGGACTACTACTGCGCTCACTGCTAAAAACTACTACTAAAGCACTATTGTGATCGCTTTTTAAACAAGAGAAAACATTTGGTTTTGATTTCACACCAGCATTGTTAGTACTGGTTACGCAATGCTTAAAAATTTTTAACTTTTAATTTTAAATAAAAACATTTTTTATAAATTGCAACGTTATTGTTAACTAGCTTTTAAGTGGGCAAACAAAATTACAACTATTTAAATAAATAGAAAAAGTTTTTCTGTATTTGTCAAAGCAAACAACTAAAAACATTTGCTGTCAATACACAATTTTGAAATTAATGTTTTTATTAAAAGCAAAATTTTTTTTGTTTTTCAAACTGTTCAAAATTTAAAAAACAAAAATAACTTCTTAAAATATGCAAAAAATGGCAAAAAACATAGTTTTATTTCCATTTTATGTGTGTACAACACGCACACAACTGTTAACTTTTTACCAACAAGTAGTGTGCGCTTGAAGTTTAATAGTAACGACATTAAAGAACAAAGCAACGCTGAAGTGATATTGTGTGTTGATAATGGTGGTTGACTGTTCCGGTGGTGTGATATAAGGATGTTTCAGTTCAATCAGTTCAAATGAAAAAAATGTTAATCATTGCAAGTAGTGTGTGTGTATGTGTGGTCAATCCTAAACACCAAATTATTGACTAGATTTGTTTTACACACCGAAAAAAATTGTTTGTGCTGCCCAAAAGGCAGGAAACAAAAAATGGCCACAATTGTAGTTATCAAAAGGAGGTGATCAAAGTAGAAAAAGCATAAGAAAAATAGTCAACAAAAATGTGTGTAATTTCTCTGAAAAGTGACTTTCTGAAATGCTTGCTTCCCTTTTGTGAGTTTGTTTTAAAAACTTACTTCACAATGAGGGTTTTTGTGTTATTGTGTATGTGTACAAAGTACGCCTGTTTTATGTGATGTGTGTTCATGGAGGGTTCATGATGATGGTAATAGTAGTTGTGGTGATCAAATAGATTCAAAGAAAAAAATGTATGATAATGCACCGAAAAGTAGTTGTAGTGAAAGCATGCGTTTAAGCAAGATAATCCATTGCACTGTGTGAAAAAGATAGAGAGAAAGAGAATAATCATAGAGATCAAAAGATGTGTGTGTATTTTGTGTGTTTAGAGGTTTGTGTGGAGCAGGGCTCACACTAGTGTGAAGAAGGTCATGGTAAAGGAAGCACTGGTTTCGCAAAAACAAAAAAGGAGAAAGGGAAAAAGATGTGCAAAAATGATGGTGATGATAAGACACACATCTGTAGAGGTTGATAAGGGAAGGGAGAGGCTTTATCACCATCACTACCACCAGGATAGCCACCGAAACAAGGTAGTGGTCAAAATCAACAGCAAACTGACTGCAAGAGCGTTCACCCTCAAACTAGAGGCGGCACCACACTGGCGGATATCCTTTTCCTACAAAAGTAAAAAAATTGTTTGTAAAACTTAAGTTTATAAAAGCAAGCCAAAAAAGGCGGTTACCTGAGCATGATAGCTGTGACAACTTTGCGGCCTTTTCCGACTTTTCTCTTCTCGCAGTTGGGAACACATTTCCGCCCGACTGTAGACGATCTCCTTTGGCTCAATGTCCACTATTGATTTGATGCAATTGCAGCCGGGGTGATTATCTACCATCACCATCAGCAGATTGGTGTGCGGCACGTACTGGGCGAGGTATTTTCTGGTAATGAAACGGTCGGGAAAAGATAAATGAACATTAGTTTCTGGTAAAAAATGTTAACTTTTTGTTATCAATAGTAAAATCACTCACCTTCCACATCCTGGACTCTGGCCACAACCCACCTCCCTCACTCTGGTCACATTAGAGAAATCCATCATCTCAAAGAGGTCAAACTCCTTGTCGCAGGGCTGCGCCGTGGTCATGTTCCGGTCAATGAAGTCGCCCAGAACGCCGCCCACATATGGCGGCGGTCCTGATCCTCCTCCTCCTCCTCCTCCTGAACCACCTTCAGCATCCTTTGAGTCCGGGTCTTTGCACTCAAAAAGAGAGGCTAGGACCCGCCAAGGGCCCAGGTAAGTGAGGTCCACGTAGAGAGCTGCCAAGGTGTTGAAAAGATTGGAAAGCAGTCCAAGGAGGAAGTGGGCCAGCGAAAAGGCAAACGGCCGCGCCGAGGGCCCATAGGCGGCCTCCCCCGCCCGCTTGACGCAGATAGCCTGGTAGTCGTACATGTGCACCTTTCGGAGGACGCCGCCCTCCACCAGGTCGGTGAGAATGTCGCCGTCAATCTCGCCGAAGAAGCGGCCCACGTCCTCTACCTTGTGACCGCTGAGCAGCACAAAACCGTTGTTGTCCAGCAGGTAGCAGTCCATGTCCATGTGCGTGCAGGGGACGTTGAACTTGTTGGTGGTGTTGAGGAAGAACTCGTGGAGGACGCCGTAGCGAAACTGGATGCCCACGACAGCCACTGGAAAGCAACCAAAAATGAAAAATATTCTCATTTTGCACGTGCTCAAAACTCATTACCTGGCGTGCTCTGTTTTCCATTGCCAATGAAGAGTGCGTGCGTCGCCGTGACCAGAAAGTTGGCCGCCCTTGGCACTCGCCCCGCATAGGCGGCGCCCACATCAAAATCGACCGAGTAGACAAAGGCGTCTCGGTTGTGGGTGGCGTAAAAGTCCACCGCTCGCTGGTAGTACGTCTCCTCGATGGCCCTGGTGTGCTCCTCGTAGAAAGGCGCCTCACCACCGCCGTCGCCGCCATTGTCACCCTCTCGGGCCCGGGCGATCTCCTCCGCCGAGCGGTAGTCGGTGAATCGGGTCAGGCCGCTGCGAGTGGCCACAAAGGTGGTCGCAATGCCGAAGGTTTTGATTCGCTGGTCACTGGTATTTGGAGGGAAGAGAAAAAAGTTAGTAAAGTTTGCAGTAGTGTTCGGTTGGTTAACAAAAAAAATTATTTGAGAGTTGGTAAAAATTGAAAAATAGAACAAATGTAGTGAAAGTGGCGGCAAACAATGGTCAAAATCAGCAGTAGTTAGCAAGAGTTGTTGCTTTTTAGGCTGCTGCTCAACTCAAGTGTCTACTCGGGCACACTTTTACTGAGAAACAAGAACAAGAGAGGGCTCACAAAACACACACATTTGTGATCCGCACTCAACTGAACTGACTTTTGACGGCCGACCAACGATTTTGTCAAAAACCAACTTGGACGAGACAAAGAAGACGTTAGTGGTCAAGAGCAGTAAGCGTTACCTGGACATGAGTGAGATAAAGATTGTGAGCGGACTAAAATTGTGTTGCAGAAATTGTGGAAAAGTGTGAAAATAATTGCAAGAAAGAGTCATGTTAATAAGTTGTTCTTAAAATAAAAGAAGTTAAATCAAGGTTTTTAAGATAATAAGAATATTGTGTTTGACTAGCTTAATGGCAGTTAATTTTAAGTAATTTGAGTTGGCAAAAACGAGTATTGATTTTGTAACTTAACCACTTTGTTTAAAATTGCACTAAAAGCACTTACTCTCTCAGGTTCGGACTGGTATTGCACTTGGTGCTAGGAATGTCCGTCAACTTGGCGTCCAGAACCAACTTCTGCACCAGGTCCTTGTCACCTAGAAAGCAACACAAACATTTTTTAATCAGTCAAACCTCCATTTATCAGCACATTTTCGCCCCTTTCCCCACTTACAGCTAATCGTATCGTAGACCTGTGGTCGAATGCTGCTCGTCCGCCAGCGAAAGTTGTTGCTCTCCAGCTCAACTGAGAGAAAGTTGGTGATCACCTGTTCGGGCGTCATCGACTTCGGGTGCTGTTGACCACCGCCTCTCCCTCTTTGGGCTCCATTGCCACCACCACCTCCTCCCTGGTGGTCCTCGGCGTGGAAGGGTCTCTGTGGACTGGTGCAGTACGGCCAGTCGGGATGGACCCGCCACTGGTCACCGCGGAAGTAGGCGGTGAAGTTCTCCGAGCGGAACTTCATCTTCAGGTCGACGGCCGAGGTGAGGCGGTAGCTGCCGTAGGGCTCCGGCAGGGCAATGGCCAGCGAGAAGGGCGTGTTGCTGATCCAGCCGTGAGTGTAGTGATTGACCCTGGTCACCACCCGGCGCATCTCGTCGATGTGCATCTTTACGGCGACCTTTTTCCAGCCGTGCGTCCTCTCGATCATGTTGTTGCGAATCACCTCGATCTCGCTGCCGGACCAGTCTCGAGGACCGTTGGTGTTGTTGGCCAGCTCCACTTCGCCAAGGTCCACCGAGGCGTAGAAGGGCTTCAGGAAGTCTTCGAACTGAAATTGTGATAATAAGGATGATGAGGTGTTGATAAGTTTGATAACTGTCTAAAAACTTATTGTTCAGCACTTACACAAGGTCGCAGATCAGGGTGGTAGAGGATGTAACCGTTGTTGGAAATAATGAAAACGTAGCCGTTTACCCCGAGCTATTAAATAAAAAAATTTAAACAAATTTAAAAATAAACAGTTTACCAATTTAGTACCTTAAAAGGCGGCGTCAGTTTGATGATTTCCTTAATAGGAACGTCAATGCCGGCAACTCCCAGCAAATTGGCAATGTGAATTTGCTCCGGGTCTTTGTCCTGATAGACGTTCTTGATAAGGACGCGTCGGGTGATGTTCTGAGTGTGTAAAAAGTATATTTTAGCTTATTGATAAACAGAAAGTACGCAAAAATGTACCGTGTAGTTTCGAGTGTCAAAAACGGACGTAGAGAGCGTTGTGTAGAGCGTCACGTCGCACTTTGAAGACTTTCGTTTATGCCGCTTCGATGTTGGGGAAAGGTAATTGGCGGCTCTGGGTGATATGTACGGTTCAGAGTGAACAGATGATGATGATGAGTGTTCGGATGCGGATGCACTCTTATCAGAAGTTTTAGCGGAAGCGGAAGTTTCTGCCGCCGCTGCCGCTTTCAGTTGATCATCAACGGGGTCGTCAATGTTTCCCGCCGTTCCATGGGCCCAGGCGATCGTTTGTCGTCGATCGTGTACGTGCTTTTGTGTACTGTGTCTTGATTCGAGCAGATCGGAAGATTCTGCGGTTGCAGAAGATTCAGGAGCGGTTTCTTCAGCCAGCGATACAGAGGACTGGTCACCGGACACCAGGCCCAGAGCGCCATTAGCGCGTAGATTTGCCACAAACTCGCTTTTTTCTGTATTCAAATGATTTAACAAAGCAAAAGATTAGTACGTGATTGTGCAAAATGGTTAGTAGAAATTGCAAAAAATAGCCGATTAATGAACTGATAATAAAACAGAAAAAGCTGAAAAAAGATGACACACATGAAATGAAAAGATAAAGCGATGATGATTCAGTACCAAGGANGGGGGGGGGTTAATCATCAGTCTCATTACTGTAGTTGTAATTGTCATTATCATTATTATCATCATAAAAAATAAATTGGCCTGATTTTTAATGAAAACTGCCGATTTAAAAAATTTAATAAAAAATGTTCAAGTTTTATACTTACTATCTAAAAGTAATAGTGCTGTTATTTTTCACATTAGCTCGGCGGCATCGTTTGCAAAATTTAGCAGCAGCTGTCGCAACTTTTTTAATTTTAATCTTTTCTTATCTTTTGCAACAAACTCAGCTGTCTGGCTGTTTTTTAAATAAATGGTTCAAAGTGCTTTTCGTTTTTAGTTCAGTTAATGTAAATGGCTATGAAAGAAAATATAAAATACCGTCAGCACGCAAACACGCAAACATCTCTTCTCACAACTTTCACATTTCTCGCAGCACTTTGTTTCATTGTTCCACTTTAGCTGAATTGCACTCCTCTCAAATTACTCCTTTAACTGTCTTTTTTCCTTTCTTTTTCCTGTTGTCATTTGATACTACCCCTGCCGACGCCGACGCTTTTTGCCGATCGATTATTCTATGCTTGCCTGCCTTTTTTCCGAACAAAACTATTAGCCATTTTAATCGGTTGTCTAATATTTTAATATGTTGCAAAAAAATGAATTATTACTTTTCACCGGTTGCAATGCAAAAACGGTCTAAATTGTTCCTGCCAATTTCTAGCAGTTATCGAGTGAAAAAGGGTTGAAAACACTTATCCAAAAAAATGAAGCATTGTGTCTAACAGCCTGACAGCCCATGAAAAACGAAACCAAGTTTTAGTATGCACACTAATCGGGGGGCACCACCAGTTGGGGCCCACTTTGCATAATTGCCCACTCACTGGGTAAGCACTGGAGCACAAACAAAACTTGCTAAATTGTTTTTGCAAACCGAAAAACAGTAGTTAGCTTAAACCATCAGTCATCATTACTATCTCCATTATGTGGATCAAGAAAAAGAGGGAAAAACTGACTTCCACAACTTACGCTTATTATCCCAGTTCCAGTCAGTCAACTCCATCTTTGAGTTGGGTGCGTAGACGGGCGTCCAGCTGAAGATCCGCTGTCCGCTGAGCACCACCGGCCGACTGAGCACGGGAATGTACTTCTGCACCTGCTCATGAACCTCCGCCCGATTGGCGACATGCGTGAAGTAGCCCCGATTCTCGCAGGCCATCCAGTACATCTCCCCGTTCATCGTCACGTCCTTGCCCACCTGGTAGGTGAACACTCGCACGGGAATGTTCGGGTAGTTGAACTGCCGGAAGATCTCCTCGTAGGTGCTCGGTGCGCCGTCGGTGACGATCATTATGGCCTGGTTGCACTGCGACCCACGCCCACTCTTATTCACCGCCTGCAGCGTGCTGAAGGCCTCCAGGAGGGCGCCAGTGAAGTTGACCGGATTCTCCGACTTCAGCCCCGGCAGGGCGCCCTTGATCGTCAGCACGTTCCGCTTGGTGGCCCGCACTAGCCGATCGAGGCAGCCGCAGATGGGCGTCACGTTCTTGTTGAACTGGTAGGCGGCCACGTAGTCGTCCTCCGTCAGCGTGTCCAGAATCTTCGAAACGACGTCCGAGGCGAGAATCCGCCGTCTGCCGAGCATGCTGCCGCTGGTGTCCAGCAGGAGGACGATGTCCTTCGGGCTGGCCGCCCCCTGGATGTACCAGCTGCGCATGCGGCAGTCGTAGAAATCGACCGAGGGCGGCGGCTGCAGGCTTCCGTCCTCTCCGACCGCCTCCGCGCCTACCTTCAGGTTGGGCGGCTCTCGCCACTGAAAGGCAGGGTAGAGGCGGAGAAAGCCCTTGGCGCTGCCGAAGAACTGCCAACTGAGGCTGGGGTCAAAGGCGAGGTTGTTCTTGAAGAAGGGCGTCAGCGCGTCCGACCACTTGATGTCATTGATCACCTCGACCGCCTTGTGGAAAACGTTGACGGGAATGTGCACCGCCGAGGACTCCAGATCCACCTCGTAGCCGTCAAAGTTGGCGGCGGCGGTGCTCGGTCGCAGGCCCTCGGGTTTAATGCCAATCGGTTCATCCTTCTTATCATCGCCATCACCACCACCTCCACCTCCACCACCTCCATCATCTTCACTGTCAATGGGCGGCTGGTTGACATTGAGGAAGGGAAAGTTGTCTAGGTTCTTATCAAAGGTGTGATTAGAGCTGATGCGCTCGCTCTCATTGGCAATGCGGTCCACTGCATGCCGTTTCCAGTTGAGCATGTTGATCACGTCCTGGCGCATGTCGTCCATCATCTTATTGCCGTCAAAGTAGCTCACCTCGCCACTGTACGCTTGAAAGTTCTCCTCAATTCGACCCAGGCAGGTCTGCTCGGTGGCCGCCGAGGAGAGCTCCCGACCGAAGGTGCGCACCATGTTCTTGAGGACGTCGCCCGGGTCGCTGAGAAAGTCGTCAAAGGAGCCGGCCGCTGCGGCGAGAGAAGTTCCGAAGATGAGGAC